GATTAAGAGGAAATATATTCTATCTTAATAGACAACGTCACTTTTAGATTCTTAATTAGTTTGACTGTGTCACAAATGCTCGATATGCACCTTATAGATATAGTGACTGTCTATTTATATAGTTCACTTGATAGTGACATATGCATGAAAATCTATGAAGGACTTAAAGTACAAAGAACAAATAATACATATCCGAGAACCATATTATCAATTAAATTGCAAATATCATTATAAGGATTGAAACAATCCGGTCGCGTGTAGCATAATCGCCTTAGCAAATATTTGTTGAAGTAGAGTTGTAAAATGAAGATATCTACCCATGTATTTTCTTTAAAAAAAAAATATTGGATTGCAATTGTGACAATTTATGTTAATGATTAAAATTTAATTATAACTCTTGAAGAGCTCAACAAAACTGGTGATTATTTGAAAAAAGAATTTGAGATCAAGGATTTGGGAAAACCAAATTTTTTCTTGGGGTAGCAGATTGAACATTTCGCTGAATGATTATTTGTTCATTAATCTACATATACAGAAAAAGTTTTAAAACGTTTTCATATTGATAATGTACAGCCATTGACATCATTCATTATTATTCAATCACTTGATGTGAAAATAGATCAATTTCGTCAATTTGAAGATAGAGAAAATGTTCTCGATCTTGAAGTACCATATCTTAGGACAATTAGAACATTAACCCATCTTGCAAATTGCACTCGACTCAACATAACTTTTTCTTTAAATCTCCTTGTAAGATATAGCTCTATGCTAATTCAAAAATATTGGAATTGTGTTAAACACATTTTTCGTTACCTGAAAGTTACTATTGATTTGAGATTATTTTATTCTCAAAAATCAGGATCTACTTTAGTGGAATATATAAATGCAGGTTATTTCTCTAATTCACATAAAGCTAAATTATAAACAGGATACGTGTTTACACGTAGAAGAACGATTATATCATGGAGATTTGTGAAGCAATCTTTACGGCAACATCCTCAAATCATTCTAAAATTATTGTAATTCATAAAGCAGGCCGAAAATATGTATGGTTAAGGAACATGACCCATCATATCCAAGTATCAAGCGGGTTAACTTTAACAAAAGATAATCCAATAATTTTGTATAAAGACAATACAGTTTGTATTACACAACTCAAATGAGGCTATATCAAAGGTCACATGACAAAACACATTTCTCCAAAATTCTTTCATACGCAAGAGTTTCAGAAGAATGACGACATTGATATTCAATAAATTCGCTCAAATGACAATATAGTTGATTTATTTACAAACGCATTACCAACATCTATATTCAAGAAATTGGTTGACAAGATTGGAATGTGTCGATTCAAAAATTCCTAGTGATTTTTATGGGGGGTATCTATAATTTTTTCCTTAATATAGGTTTGTTTCACTCGATTTTTCTAACACGATTTAAATGAGGCAGTATTTTCTCTATACTCCAAAATATTAACAATTAACTATACTCTTTTTTTCCTTTGTTTGATTTTTTCATTGGGTTTTATCAAACAAGGTTTTTAATGAGGCAGCTATTGTACAAATAATCATCAAAGAAATGTGTTGTGAAATAATGAGATAATTATTTAGTATTATCATAATTTATAGATAGGTCTTTTCTGGTTCAGATAATCTATTTCATTCAATTGTAACTCTTATTTTAGACTCTATAAATACATACGTTTATTATCAATAAAATACACATTTTTGAGTTTTGACTCTTATATTCTCTTTTCTTTTTCTCTCTTTTCATAACATTATTTATGTTTTTGCAATTTCATCAAGTTACCAACATTGATTGAAGTAGGTTTGTGGTGTTTGTTTATACTTGCTTGCTTAAAATATATTTATGTACAATAATGTTTGAGCTCCATTTTATTTAAAATATATTTTTCTCTGTTCTCTTTTTAATCACATACTTTAAAATAAAATAATAGTATACGTAAATTCAAAATTTTTTCTTTTTTTCCCACACATTTTTTTTAAAAAAAATCAATATTTAAAAATATATTTCTTTCAAATAATAACAATGAAATGGGATCATATATAGCGAACGAGTAATTTAATTGCACCTTTTCCTCTTGGAAATTGGAAGCTGACGTATGGGGTGATCTCACCTACCTCCTCCTTCACTCTTCAACATTAATCTATCTTTATCTTGAAGTCCTAAATCTGATGGGCTTTCTGCAAAAATATCAATAGAAAATAAACGAAGTCTTTAATGGGTTTAAAGAGAATGGAAATGCCCAGAACATGATTTGACCATAATATTTTACACTATAGCCTTGTTTGATTTTAATTTTTAAAATATTTTTTTCCTACTTATTTTCAACTATACATTTCACAAAATCACTTTTCAAAAAATCAACTTCTCACATGGCTATAATTGAATTACAGGTGGAAAAATGGTAAACATTTATGTTTGGTATGAAAAAGGTTTTCATTTGAAATTTTGCCCGTTTGCTAGAGACTTTTAGAGAATAGATATTGTGAAACGGTAGAAAAATTTTATGGATCTAAATTTTTTTAGAAGAATGTGTTGTTAAAAATGAGTTCGAAAAAAACAAAAGAAGTTTTAAAAAATGAGGAACAAACATGAACTTTATGTTGAAGACTGAATTACTCTACAATTATAACGAAGTTTGAGTATTTTAAATATTGGAAATTAATTTTCTATTTGAAAAATAATTTGGTATTTAAGTCTTTAATTATCATCCTTTAAAAATTTAAATTGTTAGCTACAATATTATTATCCATCACACATTCACTCAATAAAATATTCCATGTACAAGTTTATAAAGTTCCCTTACATTCTCAAAAAAATAAAATAATAATAATAAATAAATAGATATTATTCCATATCTCATTCTTTCCAAGTAAATTCCATCAAACAGCCCTAAAATCCTTTTTTTTCTTTTTTCTTTTTTTTTAATTTTATACTATGTCATATCATTTCAATGAACTTTATTTTTTATCTCATAATTCGCTCGCAAATGGATGAATTCAAAGTTAATTTTGCAAAAAGTGATTTTTTGGAGAATATTTGGACATGTTCGTCTCCGAATTCATCTATGTACCTAATTTGAGAGAGATGAAGTAGTGATAGATGAACATCCCTAGGTCATTGAAATGATTTTGATGAAAAATAAGTATTAAATAATATGTACCAAACATGTGTTAAATGTTATTATTTTAAAAGTTAATCAAAATATGAAAAAGTATTGTTACACCATTTTATGAAACTCATTTTTCCTTCATTTGCAATCATACATTTGATGATATCCACAAATCTTATTAATTTTTCAATTATACATTTCATCAATCTTTATCAAAATCTACTAAAAATCTTCATTAGTCATTCGTTGCAAAATTATCATTTTATAAGAATAACGTTTGCTCGAAATTCACACTGTGTTATATTAAACAGAAATTCTTTGAGTTGTTTTTTATGTTGAAATGATTTTTCTTTATCCATAGACAATGAGTTGATGTATTGTAAATGCCGATGACATAAAATCTGGCCCTTGTTTGGTTCCCATTATTTTCAAAATGCATTTTCTCTCTCTTATATTTAACCATACATTTTTCAATAAAATAATATTACACGTAAATTCAAATTTTTTTTTTATTTTTTAATGGTACATTCTTCATCAAATCACTATTTCAAAGTGTATTTTTGAGCCCGTTTGATGGAATTTATTTGGAAATAATTAGTTATTGAATAGTATTTTTTTTTTTGAAAAATGTATAGTTAAAAATTAAGAAAACTTTATTGATTTGTGTGTGAAATATTCTATTGAATGAATATGTTGTGGAGAATTGTACTGTACCAAATAATTTAAGTCTGTTTGGCCCCCATTTTTTTGAAGTAAAAATGGGTGGAATAGTTTTTTATTTAAAAATGAGTGGTTGAAAAAGAAGTAAAAAATTTTGATTTACGTTTGATATTATTTTATAAAAGATTGTGTGATTAAAAATAGAAGAAAGAAAAATAAAATATAATTAGGGCGAAACGGGAGCTAAATAATTGAAGAATGACAAACATGGGCATAATGGGGCTCAAACAATCGCTTGGTCTTTAATGGTCCTTTATTTGTAGTGGACATCAACAAGTACAGCCGGCCAAAAATTGTATGAGAAGGAAATGGTAAAAAAGTCAATGAGGTCTATTTAGAACCACTTTTAGGTAGATATTATAACAATTAATTTGCTTAGCATTTTAATACGAAGGGGTAATGTCAATAGATTGGAGATAACTTGTGTTCTATTTACAATGAATTGTGAAATTTCATATAGAGGGTGTTTGATGAGAATTGAAATTAGATTTTTTAGTATATTTTGATAGGAGTTTTTGAAATGTATTGTTAAAAAGTTGTGGCACCCATAAAAGATGTAGTTAATATTGATTATTTGACTTGGATTTAGATTAAAATCAAATTTTAATTCATACCAAACGGGCTCACATTTCATCGATAAATTCTACATAGCGACTAGGCAACAAATCCTATACGCAAAAAAAAAAAAAAAAAAAAAATTTCTAAAGTTTCTCGTCTAATTATTCTCTATCGCCTCTCTCCTATAATTATGCTAACAAGGTCAGCTATCTATACAATTAAATTATAATCCATTTTTTCTCTTTCTTCTTTTTAACTGCACAATTTTCAATAAAATAATATTACACATAATTCAAAAAAAATTTCTTTTATTTTAATCACACATTTTTCAAAAAATTATTATTCATCTCATTATAATGTGGAATAGTGAGAACCAAACGGACGCTAAGGAATATAACATGTGGCCTAACATGTTTCCTATGATTATGCTAATGTCACTACACAATCATGAAATATAACTAATCACTTATATTTTCCACATTTGATTATTGTTCTTGATACAAAATATATATATATATTTATTTATTTATTTATATATATATGTTTCATACAAAATATAAAGGCTAAACATTGATAGAAAGGTACAAAAAACAACAGACAAGAACTCAAATTATGCATAGTTTCTTCAATAGAAAGGCAATCATAATTCCCTTTATTCATGATTTCGAGTTCAATATCAAAACATGAAGTAATTAGCTACTTAGATTTCATTTGGATGCACCTCCGCCGCTGCCACCACCACCACCACCACCGGCAGCAGCAGCAGCTTCAAAACGAGCTTGGAAAATGGCGGTCAACTTATCTCTGGGAGGAAAATTTTCCTTTATAATGTCAGAGTTCAGGTACTCATCAATCCATTCACCTAATTTCGGAAATTTCTCTTTAGTCAACACTTGTAATCCTACCAATTCTTGCACAATTATAAACCAATATGATATGAAATTGGCAACTATATCAACCATTCCAATATTGTCACCCCCAAAGAATTTCTTGCCCGAAAATTTGCCCTCGAGAAATTTCAAAAGTTCAGTCGATTCTTCCTTGGCCTTCTCTTGCTCCTCTCCTATACTCCAACAAGCTTTCCACATTGGAGGCAAACACTAAAAAACATACAAAAAATAGAAACATCGTTAGTTGTTGAATGCACAAGTAGCACCATTATACGAACATGTTACATGTTTAGTATATCGAACATAACTGTATGTACCTTTTCATCCAAGAACTTAGCCCAGAATCGCACCATGGCTCTCTCATAAGGATCTTTAGGCAAAAGAGAAGGGCCTTCTTCCCAGGTTTCATCAATGTATTCAAGAATCACCAGAGACTCACAAATTGGCTTGCCATTGTGTACTAACACAGGAACTTTCTTGTGAACTGGGTTGTACTTTAACAGCAAAGGGGACTTCTTGTGTAAATCTTCGTCTATGAATTCATATTCAACACCCTTAAGTTTCAGAGCAACCTCGATCCTGCAGCTAAATGGGCTTACCCTAGCACCAAAAAGCTTCACTTCTGCCATCGTATTCTCCTTTGATTTTCAGTCTATATTGTGCTGTATTGTCATTCTCCAGGGCTGAGCCTTATTATATATAGTAGGAGGCTAACTTATCCGCAAAGAATCAATGAATATATTAATACAGTAAATAAACATTTGTAAGTTGACCAAGTGGTAGATATTACCAATTGGACCGACCCCTCCAAAGCAGACGTATGGGGTGATCACAGCAATCTTTGTTTTTTCCGACATTGACTAGACTAAAGTCTTATCATATAGACGCTAAGACACAACTATTTAGAAACACTTTCAAAATTACTTAATGCCATTATAATCAACCAATTTCATATAATGTTTTACCATGATCATCTAATTTCATATAACATTTTACCATAATCACCAATTTCTTTTCATCATTTTCACTAATTTTAAAAGAGGTAAAACGATAACTTTTATTTTATATAAATTTAAAAAAAAAAACATTTTTTTATTTTCAAATAAATTTTTATTTTATTTTATTTTTCTAAACAACTTAATTTTTTTAAAAAAATTAGTTTTTATTATTTTTTAACTTTTTTTTTTTTTTAAATATTGAATAGAATTGAAAAGGGTCTTAAATTTAAACACGATCAATCTTTCATAACCCTTCTGAAAATTCAAGATAAGCCTCAAAATAGAGGCTCCTCAAGTATGATATATTTTCATATTTCTATTTTAACTCTCATCTCGACAGTCTGAATCATGTTTGGTTGTATTTAAAAGGAAGTAAAATTACATTTTAAGTAACTTTTACCTTACTTTCAAAATTAATAATAACTTAATTATATCTAGATTTTACTGATAAAAAATTATTTTAAAACTTTTCCATTTAATTTTAAGTTTAGTAGAAGTTGTTCCAAGCTTTAAAATCATTTTATTGAAAAAGAAAGTAATGTTTAAAAAACTTCAAACATATTTTGCCAATAAATAAATAAATAAATAAAACTTTAAATTAGTTTTAAGTTTTTCCAAACATGTTTAATCAACAATGTCTTCGAAATATATTTTTTAAATCTTCACATACCCCCGTCCCTTAATCATTCGTCTCAAGTTATCTGGATAATAGATTTTATCAGTGAAAAACAATTGCCAAGAAAGAAAAACGCTTGAATGTGGACTCTAACATTGCTCGACTTATTTTCACATAGCTCATATATGTATTAATGTAGTGCCCCATGTTTGCTTGTTATAAGTAACTACCTACATAAGTGAATAGTACTTGACTACTTGTAGATCCCTCAAAATATGTAAATAAAAAGTGATTTAAGTATTTATAAACAAAATATCATTTGAGTGATTTGTGCTATACAATTTTATTTGGATTTGTGATCGTTTGATTTCCCGCAAGTGGATGGGATCGTGAACAAATAATAAAGTAGTTAATAGAGTGTCGAACCCACAAAAATTGTATATTTGATTGAGTTCAAATTAAAAGCAACATTAATTAAATAGCAACTATATTTTGAGTTTTCTATAGTAATCTCTAAATTATCAATTAAACTAGAAAGCAATATAATAGTTTTTTTTTCCAAATATTTGAAAGTATTGCTAAGATATCGAATCCTCATTATTATTCCATTTTTGCGTAACAATTAAATTGATAATTTGAAATCATTCATAGTAATCAATATTTCTAATTTAATTGAAAGTCTCTTTCGATAGTGATCAAATCTATCCATCTCATGTAACCTTCTGTCTCTCGATGAAAGATGCAAACATGATAAATACATTAACAAGTGCTAGAACAGCTACTGAAATCATATAAAGCATATAGGTGTATCTCCATCGAACCTTACAATGTTTATTATATTGTGCTTAAATCCTAATGTCTCTTTCGATAACAATAAAATCTACTAACAATTCAATTGATGATCAAATAATTGAACATAATGATAAAAACGATAATAAACATCCACAAATTAAACCAAATTAAAGTCAAAATAATTAATTAAAAACTGAAAATGTCATAACAAGAGTTCGTCTCATCCTAACAATATATAAAACTAGTATAATATATTGAAATTACAAAAAATCATATTTCAGAGGAAATACATAACCTGGATTTTTTATAAATTGAGAAGATGAAGATAAATCTTGAAATCTTGAATTTCTTTAATTGCTTCCCGATGAATCTCCACGTGCCCTCTCTTCTTTGCCCAAAAACCAAGTTCGAATCTTCACTTGATTGAATTCTTGCAAGTCCCCTTCAATTTTTCTTACAAAAATTATGAATTTTCGTCATTTGATGATAATAATTGATGAGTATTGGAGTATAATATGTATAGGAGAAATGAAAGAGATGTTATTTAATGTATTCTGTTGTTAGGTATCTGTAGGAGTAAAAAATTGGTTGGAAATCACATCCAAATTAATTTTTTAAAAGAGTTCCAATCAAATAAGGAAAGTTACTTTCGCGCGCGGATTTTTTGTCTCTACATAGTAATTATTATTTTAATCATAACTTTGTCTCCCAATATCCGATCGAGTTGATTTGAAATGCATTAAAAAGCTAGCTCAAAGGGTTACAATTATTTTAGAAAATAAAATTTTTCCAATTCGGACGTTTTCTATGCCGAAATGCAATTTTTAACTAAAAATCTGTAAGATATCTTAGGTGATTGAATGTTGATTTATGGTAATATTCTGATAATATTCAATTCGTTTTAGACTTCTAATTGCATCCAATTCATTCCTATCAATCTTCAAAGTATCTCTTGTGGTCCAAATCAATCATTGGATATTTGCAATTTGGTCCTCAAACTTTGTACTTCGTCATTTTTAGGTTCTTTATTTCAATTTAACTTTCAATCATTGAGTTTTATCTAATAAATAAAATATATAATAAATTAGACTATAATTGCTTAAAGAAATATTAAATATCAATATTTTCAAGTCCAAATAAATGTATTCTATACACTTATTAAACACCCTTAAACTTAAACATTTGTTTGTCTTCAAACAAAATCATAATTTAACTTAAGTTCGCTCTTCTCCATGTCAATCAGTGTTCGGCTTGTTGCTAAAGAAGGTCATCCTAGGATTATTGGCACCTCTTGGTCATCTCCGAGATTAATAACAATGAAGTCTGTAGGGAATATCAACTCTCCAACATTAATGAGTACATCCTCAACCTTGCCCCATGGGAATATGATGTTTCTATCTGCCAGCTACAGCGTCATATTCGATTCTTGGACTTCCCAAACTCCTAGTTTCTTGAAAGTAGACAATAGAATAAGATTAACACTTGCACCTATATCACATAAAGCATTAAAATGAAATCCTTTGCCTAGTGAAATGGGTAAAGTGAAACTCTCTGGATTCTTTAGTTTTGGTGGCAATTTATTTTGTAGTCTCGCACAGCTTTCCTCGGTCAATGCCATTTCTTCCCAGTCTGGAAGTTTTCTTTTCTTAGATATCATGTCTTTCAATAACTTTGTATATATTGGGATCTATCTAATTGCATCGACGAATGGAATGTTGATATGAAGCTTCTTTTGCATATCTAAGAATTTCTCGAATTGATCATTGAGCTTCCTTTTTTGCAATCTCCGTGGAAATGAAATAGGAAGTACATAAGGTTTGATAGTAATGATTGCCTTAACCTGTAGATTTTCTGACTTTTGATATACAACTACTTCGTCTAGCAGTTCAGATATATCCACTCGCTTCTCATCTGTGGAAGGTACCTTTTTATTTACTGTCACCCATCTCTCGCTTGTGATTTCTAAAAGTTAAGTCCTGCTACGTTTAGTGATTGCCTCAATCTCCTCACTCTTTACTAACTTTACTGCCATTACCTGTTGTTTAGGATTTGTCTCAGTGTTGCTTGGCGGTGCTCCTTGTTGTCTTTCTAAGAGTACTTTTGTTATTTGTCTCATTTGATTTTCTAAATTCTTGATAGCAGTTCCTGAACTTGTAAAGTCTTGTCTGTTCTTTCCATATATTGAGTAGAGATCTCTGTCAAATTAGTCACAAGATTTTCTAATGAAGATGTTTTCTCATTCTACTGGAAACCTGGCAGTGCAGCATGTAATGTTCCAGTTTGAGCCCCCTGATTATTATTCCACTGAAAGTCTGCGTTTTTTTTCATGCCTGGGTAATGGTGTTAGGATTTGGATTGTGCTATTACTTTCGAAAATTCTGAGTATAGTTCACATCCTCTACTATTTGAACAAAAGAAGACCTTACATTACAATCAACGCATTTGTGGTTCCCTCACAATGTTTGCATTTCAATCCCACTGTTTGTGTTGCACTCATCTGATCCACCTTCTGTGCCAGTAATGCCAACTGTGCTGAAATTGTTATTAGAGAGTCAACTTCGAATACCCTAACAACTTTCCTTCCACTCGTCCTTTCAGTAGGCCAAAGTGCACTAGTGAATGTCAAATCCTCCAAACTTGTTAGACTTGAACTGCGGTTCTTTTTGTGATGAAACCATCGCATGCAGGGTCTATGTTAGCCCGGCTCAAAACCAATGTAAAAATATTATATTTGAAGCCACTTCTACCTTCCATGTTGTGGGCATTAGCGTAGTCTACCTTTGTATCGTTTCCATGCCTCTAAGTAGCATTATGAGTCTAGTTGTTGGAAGGTGGTAATCTCATCCCTTAGCTTTACGATTTTCTTCGGCAGTCAATATTTATTAAGGAACTTTCGACTCAATTGGTTCCATATAGTGATGCTTTAAGGCGGACAGATGTCTAACCATTCTCTCGTTGAATCTCTCAATGTGTATGGGAAAGACTCAGACGAATTGCTCACTTGAAAGCCCTAGGCATTCTATTGTTGTATACATGTCCAAAAATCTTGATATATGAGCATTGGAATTTTTGGTAGGGCTCCCAAAGAATTATAGTGCATTTTGAAACAGGTTGATCATATCTGTTCTCAAGTGGAAATTTGGTTGATCAAATGTCGGATATATGATAGTTGATTGGCTCTCTATGAATGGTTAAACCATATACTCTCCCATCAACCTAACATTTTCATTAGCTGCAACTTCATGCGGTTGTGATACACCCAGATTAG